CACGCGCGTGATCACTCGGCGGACAGGCCGATTATTCATTACGCGGCCGTGAGCTGTTTCAACGTGACGATGTTGTGCACGCAATTACTCCTCCGAGCCTCGATAAATATTTTGTTCGAGCGGAATTAAGGTTTCGGTATGCTTCGCGTTGCCAGCCTCGGTTAAAGTGCCATAGTAAATTGTCTTCGAGATGACCCGGTGTCATAGTTCGTTACGACCTTATATAATTGCTCCGACGCGGAAACTGGCCCTAATAAACGTCTCCATCGGAAATGAGGTATTCCGTCGTGTAAGAAGCGAAAGGCCAAAGATCCACGAGTGATTGTTCGAACAAGACAAGTGTTGAAAACGAGGCGGAAAACGTTGGAAACCAACGTGCGAAACCAGTGGGTCGACGAGGCTCGGCTCGATTGCAGAATCGACAGAGAAATTTTGATGCGGCTCGCGTGTTTGTTTGTTCTGCGAACGGCCCGAGTAATTCCTAAATAATTACGCTTTTAATTAGGTAACGTTGAAAGCGGGTTGCTAATTTTCATTTAATTTCTGCCTTGTAACCGGTTCTATTCAAACGGCCAGCCTGCCGCCCATTGGGAAATTTATTATCGCGAACGCGCGTAATTGAACGTTCGCGAATATTTCACGAGATATGCGAGCAATTTTCCCCGAATCTTTAATGAAAGCTTATTAACTATTATCGCGGCCATAAATCCAGCGGCGTAGTTCCTCGAATATATTGAGTCATATAGAGGTTCGCGCATCACTTTACCCAGCGGGCGAGCCGAGGAACCGGGAGTGATATATCGCAGGAAAAAAACCGTATCTGGCAGCGCGCGCGCGACGACGTCCACGACTCTCCGCGTTTCGAATCATCGTTTTACTAGAAAACGATTCTAATTGTTTTCTGTGAATGCTGGTTACGAATTGGAGGCTCGGAAAATCTCTGCGTTTCCCGGCGAAAGGCAACGAGAACAAAAGGCAAGTCGATATTTGAATTCGTAACCGTTTCTATGCCGGTGTGAACGTTGTGCAATTCTACCCCCCGGGTGGGTGTTCGTTTCGTGCTTTCGTTCTTCATTCTGCATCGGTAAAACCCGTTAATTAATTCACAAACGCACAAAGTGAATACCAAATCGTCGCTCGCGAATTCCTGCTTGTGGTTTTATCCTTCCGCGCGTTACAATATACCGCGCCCGATAGCAGCAGCTAGCTACCTGGTTGCAACTGAGCGTCGGAGGAAGAAAGAGATGCGAGCAGAGAGTACGGTGGAAGAAAGAGAGAGAGAGAAGACAAGAGAAAGAAAGGGGATAGCCGTTGCTCCGAAAATACGCACTTCGGAAATACATCAAAGGCACGAGCCTGGCGCGCATATTCACTCGCCTACGTTAATTTGATTGTTCTGTTTATTTCTGGTAAATGAAATTAAAATAGCTCTACTTTTCCGAGGGAGTTTCGGGCGACAGCGAACGAGAAAAGAGGGAAACAGGGAAAAAGCGAAGCAAGGGGAGAGAGAGAGAGAGAGAGAGAGAGAGAGAGAGAGAGAGAGAGAGAGAGAGAGAATAGGTGAAAAAGGGAAAAAGAGAAAGAAGGGTGGACGCGGGGACGGTGGAAGCTTATTGCGACTCCACCTTTTTAATTAAAGTTTGAAACTGAACTAGCGCATGCAAGAGGGTTCCGTGGCACTGAGCGAGGAGAAGTACGGCACATAAAATAGTCAAGTGTAGCTCTTTCTTCTCGACCGAGCACTGTCATCCTACTTGTTTGACATTCTGGCCATTAATAAAATGAACGACGACGTGGCCCTACATCCGCGATGGCCCTCATTTACAAATGACAATTCGGCAAATTTAATCGTTTCACAACACGCGTTAAAAGGTATTATATCATTCCCGTTCTAGCACAAAAATTCGCTCATCTTCAAGAATTTTATTCCTATCTTTTTATAAAATTATAAAATTCATCACTGTATGAAAGTATCTAATATATTCGTATCAAGTCGTAGCAAAAAATTCTACTGGTATACCTGTATAAAAAGACGAGTAGCTTCTCGTTACATTCATATCAATAATAACCGTGTATAATCCGTTCTCCATGTTACTTTGGTTTAATTAATCAACGAAAATCACAAGACCGATGAACAATCCTCTCATCACCATGGCAACAACTATTCATACGACGTTTGAATAAGTGTAATTCACGCAAGTGTCCCGTACCTAATTCACCTTCATAAGCTTTATAGCGGGTATTGTGTTGGAACCTCGAGCCACCATTAATTTCGCTAATGGTTAATCAATAAACAAGCAAGTCGTGAGTAGTATTCCAGCAATGGGTGGTACGTGTGTTCTGCGGTTTTAGTTGATTTACCATCGAGAAAGAGAGGACGAGAGAGACAAGAGAGATACGAAACGAACAGTTCGTACGCGCGTGACGAAAGAGATCTGTAAGAAAATAGGCACCTGTTTGGGCCGCTGTTGTGTACAGGACGAAAGATCGAATACCAGGAAGTCGAAAAAAAAAAAAGGAAGACAAATATAAGACGCGAGAACGAACAGGAAGAGAAATTATCGCTGAAGAAGCGCTATTTGTTATCAGTCCGAAGTAATACAATGGCTCATATGGCCGTTGATTGATGTTCCTACATTTATACAGTCTGTTCAGGGCGATCTATATTCGCAGGAAGCATAATTTAACTTCAACCCCGTTCTCTGTTGCTCGAAAACATGGCTGCGCGGACGAAGAAGAATTATACTCCCTTCGATGTCTATCGAAAGTTCCTTTAAACGGCGCGAACGAGCGAGAAGCGAGCGGATCGGAGGGAAGGAATAATCCTTTTAAACGTACGCATCAAGCGAGAAAAATTACTCCGAAAGGAATAACATTACGCGGCGAAAAATTGTTTGTTCTATGCACGCGTACTTACACGAATCAACGTTCAAAACTTGGTGAACGATTGGAAAATGCATCATTCACGTTCCCGCGACAAAAGAGAAGCAATTTTCACTCGGACTGCCGCCAATATGAACGTAAATACGCCGATTACGCGCGATTAATTATTTATACGGCGGTCGCTTTATTATCCGTGGAAAACGTTTGTAACTGCGGTCGGTTGTGCGAAATCGTCATTCTGCGAAACGCGCGTGGTATTATCTCGGGAAAAATTGCCACGTCGGATCGATGCGTGTTCGCGAGAAAAAGAAAGCAAGAGAGAATGCGAGAGTGAAGGAAAAGATAAACTAATACATGAATGAATCGCGATCCATACAAGAGTCTTGTAAGAAGTCGTTGACATGGAGTACTTTATAAGTAGAATGACGTGCATAGTGTTACTGGTGTTACGCGAAGAGAATCGCTTATCGCGCGGAAGCAACCAGTGGTGCAGTTTCCACGTGACCTTACGACAGTTACGTCTCAAAACGATTAATATCAGCTAGACATACGCGCGAACGGGATAGTCCTCGTTTATATAGATGGTACTTGAGAATGGAGCACGGACGTTACCTTGTCTCTTAGTTGCGACACGAGGCGAGATAAGTGTACGAAGCAGTTGGTAAATGGTAAAAGATAAGAGAAAACGGAGGCCCGAACTTTTCTTCTTCAAATTCGTTGGAATTGTATACGAACGAAAGCAAACAGGGAAAGCTGCGAGTTTTTTTGAATAAACGAAACGCGCTGGTATTTTATTTCGGCTTTCGTTGGCGATGCATCGATCCGTTCTTTTAGGATTATTATTTTTCATGATTTCTGACATTTGCTTTCATCCAATCAATTGTGAAGTCAATGATCTGTTTTATAAATTATTGTAAAATTGATATTGTTTATTTATGGAACGTTTTTGATTTTTTTTTTTTTGAATATTTTTATATTTCGTACTTTCAGTTCATTGTCCAGAAAATTGAACACGCTACACTCTATCATCGAATAGAGGAAAAGATTATTTCGGAGTAAACATCTTCGAATACAATAGCAGTATTAGATTTTTCATATTAACCGAACGAATCTCATTTATTTGAATAAATATTATTTATTTATTATTTACTTCACCATAATTCTAAATTAAATTCTAAATAAATAAATATTATTTCACCGCAATTCTAAATTAAATCCTGAATATTCGAAACTTACTGCTTGTGTAATTATTTTTTCGCCTCATTAATACAGTACGAATTCATTACGTTTAATACAAAGAGCAGATTTCATTCAAAAAATGAAATAAAATATAACGAAAAAGTATTCTACTGTTGTATAGTATATCTATTTATCGTCAGTCTGAATAATATTTTTGAAATGAGCTCTTTCCATCGTTATAACAAAAAGAATTATTCAGTTAGCAGTTATGTGGAAGGATACGCTTTTCAAATATTGGCGCCATTTTTATGACGGTCACAATTGCAAACTGCACTACGGTCGCGCGAATTATAGTCGTGAATCTCCCACTCCTGTCACTCTCTAAACCGTGATTTTTCTACAAAATACTCACATTTTCAATACGCACGCCGCGTTTTGATGCGAAATACTTCGAGGCTGATCAAAAACTGACAATATAAATCCAATTTTTATACAAAATTTGAAAAATTTCACGATTTAAAGTAGAGAGATACGCACGACCTGTGCGATTGTGACATACATACCGTTTATATCTATGCCGGCTATGTCGTCGCATACGAATATGTTGGATGTCCTAATATACACGAAACGACACACATATACACACGCGTGCCATTCAAACGGAAGCGGAACTTTATTCGGTCTAAGAATATTGGCAGAAGGTAAAAGAAACACGCCTCACGAGCGATCAAGAATTCTAACCTGCGCGTCGGAATCGAAGTCTATCGAACTATCAATAACGATTGGAACTGTCCTTCCCGTGCGGAATAATATTTGTTCGAGACGCATTTCGTGAGTCGAAACGACTTCCGAGAATTGGAGACGAGAGCCTGCAAGGCGAATAAAAACAGTAAACGAAACACTCACGTTGTTGTTGATAAGAAGAGTAACCGGTGCCTCGTTTCCGTGCCGCAGGATACGCAGAATCGTTGTTTCCTTTTTTTTTTTTTTTTTGCTGTTCCTCAATACACTGTTTCCTTGCGTCAAGGATACAAAGTATCACACGCGTAACGTGAGACTTCGCAACATGACACCGCACAGAAATCACTGATAAAATATAGCTAGGAACGATTCACGATCAGTGTAGTTCCGTTCCCCGTAAATATAAGTTAAGCGTGTTGCTGGTTTTCGCGCGTTACGACGTACGAACGTGGGTACGGCCAATCGACGAAGGCAATGCGTACCCCTCGCGACCCCGTGACGAACTGAGGTTAGTGCTGGCGGCACAGCGCCACCGTGACCCGTGGAGACACCGTAAACTAAACTCGCACCCGTATATACAGCTTGCCGTGGGCCCGCACACGCGACGAGAAAGTACGAAAGGGCTATCTTCGAAGTTCGGCAAAGTTGCTCGCTTTTCGCATTTTCATTTCACGTGACGCGATTTATCCTGTCGTTGGAGTGTCCGTCGACTTTGTGCCTCGTGATAGCTGCTTCAAACACTTGGAGGCGATCGACGTCCTGGGACAAACTAATCGAGTGATGAACTGCCAATGGAGTTCCAGCTTACACCTGTGAGTTTAAATAATTCTTTTCCAAATATTATTTTCAATGCCAAATAAAATTTTCGACGATATTTGAGAACGTGCAATGATATTTTTGAATAATGTCATCGATATGTGCAAGCTTTATATATATATAGGTTATACAGAAAACGTGCCGCCATTAGACGTAAGAATTATCGATATGACGTTTGATCGATATGATGTCATGTACGTATAAATGGCGGCAAGGGATGAGAATTCAAATCTGTTTGAAACTCATCTAAGATAGACAAAAACTATAATATTGATTGTATCTGAATCATTCTTCGAGCTTGTACTATAATTCTTTAAGCAGTTATACATGATAATACAATAATAAAAAAGAAATCGATAGAAGGAAGATTTGCTTGTACAAAACCTATCCTTAAAAAACAAACAATATCTATATTACGTGTAATAAAACGTTTCCGTTTCGCACGTCTGAATCGATAATTTTTATACTTATGTTTTTCCCATATTTGTTAAAACTTTGCATAATAGTATCGCTTGCTTTACAAAAATCATTCTAAAAGACATTTATCATAGAAGAATTCCACAATTTCGCGGATTTGAAAATTTGAAATTCGCCGTACCTGCAACGTACAATATCGACCATTTCTCTTCCTTCCATTTGTTATCTTTCGCAACATCAAACGATATATTTTCTACGGAATATAATTTTACGACTGACCGTGATTATTTTTTTTTTCCTTCTTTTTTTCCTCTCCGTTGAATTTTTGTCAGTTCGAATGAATTTGAGTTACCGTTTCGCTTCGCTACTACTCCGTTTCCATGACTGTATATTAGAAACTACGTCACACGTACAATTCCTTCTTGCGTGCGTTTTACGATTCACGGTAGACCCCGAGGTCTGATTCGGTTCGTCTGACGCGACGAATGTCAAACGTCGACGCGAACATTCAGCGGCTCTGCAGAGGAACGAACGGAGCGTATAAGAGGATTTCTTTCAAAAATGTATCCTTAGGGCAGTTCGTGTAACAGATGTTTTGACATATTAAAATGAGGAAATACCAGATATGAGTAAAATTTATTTCGTATTTATTTCGTATGAGTAAAATTTATTTCGTATTTAATATACGTACATTGTTAAAAGACATCACTAGTTTTTAAACTCACTCTTACTTCTTTCGTACTACTAAAATACCTACAGGGAAATTAATTTGATTTATCTCGAGATAAAAGTGTTGCAGGAAAGTATTTATTTCCAGTATCATCTGTGTACTTTTAATACAATAACGAATCTTTTAATGTTTCAAGCAAAGAACTCATGTGTTGCAATATTTACGTAATTTTTATTTGAAACTTGAAGTGAGAGTCATTTCTGCTTACATGTTATCATAGAAAATGTTTCATCTTCTGTAATTGCTTATAGTAAGTAAAACAAGTTTTTACTTAAACTTGATCTCGTTAGTTTATCTGCTCAAGTATTCGCAGTCTATTAATCAAGTAATTGCACTCGTTCTCCTTTAATATCTGTTCAAATGCTTTAAATATCTCGCATTGAATAAAATTTTTTTAATACGATTTATAAAAATTCTCGCGATTCAAGAAGGTGTAAAATCAAATTCTCGTATTCAGCAGCAATTGTTCACGCTTCTGATTGTACGTTCGCCTCTGAAATGTCGGCGAGCGTCGCGGCAATGTGATTGTGAACAATATTGCATGTCCATGAATCAAGCGTACCCATTCGAGATATTGCTCCCTATTGCCTTGTGTATGATAATGCATGCCGATAGTACGAAATCACTTCAGAGAATCAATCAGCAGACGTGTCGTGAGCATCTGAACATAAGGAGTACTTGTATAACGCAAACAATCTTGCGTGCGACATGTGTACGGGCCCGTATATATTCATTCACAAAGCCTTGTTGGAACACTTCAGCCGTACGCTGACCTCGCCATGTATAAACCTCTAATCCCATTTAACTCGACGAGCTGTCGTTTTTTAACAGTTTCTCCAACTCGTTCTCAGAAGTATTTCCTTATTGCCTCCTTCTCGTTCCAAATCAACAGTCTACTACTTACTCTACATACGGCATGTATACGTCTCGTAAATGTCGCAAGATCGTAAATTAATTCGACTCTCTCGATTTAATACCGTGTTACGTACTTTTCAGTCGATCGTATATATTCGCGATATTCGAGAACGAGCGAAATGACAATTTCACAAGTATCAGCGACGTTGCGAATAAGCTGTTACGGAGCGGTTGATGCAATCGAAAATGTAGAATAAGATTTCCACAGAGTAATTTCTCGCTGATAAGTGGCTGGAGAGTTCAGCTTATCCGGCTAAAAAGAAAAGTCGGAATTGTTTCTACGAAGTACACCGTCATTACACTCCTTCCTTTCTTTCCGAGGGCTTAGATTTAGTGGCGCGCGGAAATAAACGCTTTCGGTGTAGCGAACAACAAGAATCATTTTTTACGGCAGTGGCAGACTTATTCGGGCGGAGAAAGGAGCCTGGGAGCTTTTATATTTCTGCTCAAATTGTATGCTATTAATTAGAAAGGCGATAACGGTGTATAACCTCGGCAACCCGTGTACCGTGTGGATTTACTTAACGTTGCGGAGAAAATTATTTCACGAATTATTAACTCGTTAGCGATAACAATTCGAAGATGAAATTTCGCTGCTGCAATTTGTTGAAATCTTTTGGTATAAACAGGATTATCCCTCATTTTTGCTTCTTCTCTTTCTACTTCTGATGACACAATTTTTAGCAACTCACGTCGAGAAATAAAACGGAGACGCGACGTGCATTAAAAGTTTCTGCTCCAAAGTTATAATTCAGTAGGATTTACGTCAATGCATTAACAACGGCTGAAGATACGCGTGAGGGTATTATCACTGTGTATGAAAATACCGTTTCCGAGATTTCAGATAATGTACAGCATTATTCATAATCTGGCAGCAAAAGTATTTAAATATCATGAGTCATCGATGCGAATATAATCTGGGAAATGTAGATATTTTGATGTTGCTGCGTTAAATTACATTTTCACAAGAGCCATTCGCTTTCGTCGTACGGGGCAGGGTTTCGATAGTATCCAGTTTTTAAAACAATAAATAAAGGCGTGTCCGTATATTATCGTACTTATCGACGCGAAAGCACGCAAGTTTGACGATCCGCGGAGTATTTTAGTTCTCAGCGTCGTTCCGGTTCTCCACTGCAGTGTGCCGTGACAATTTCTCATACCACGATAAATTGGACAATAAAAATTAATCCCTTTCCAGAAATTTGAATTCGGAAAAAACGGAAGTCATTAATCATCCAAGGTACATTGTTCCTTTGCGCCCGGGTAAAACTTATCGCGCTTTAAAATCGTAGAGTTTCAAAGGTGGGCCGGTACGCGTTCGATATTTTGTTATGCCATTAATAACCACTGTCTCGCTTCTCGGTAACAGGCTTTCTCAATTAATCTATGTTACGAGTGTGCCGAATGGCGAGGGGAATGTAAAAGCTCGAAAATTAATATTAACGCGTCGGCCAGAGAAAGCGACGTATCTGCAGACTGCAAATCGATATTTTACATAGCCGATGTCAATGGCTAATGAAAACGTCGAATAATCCGATACCGATGTAGATATCCCACGTACTGCTGCGCTAACCAGCAGATATTTTTGTGTCATATACTTATATTCCATGAGCTGTTTCCGCTGACCGTAGACGTTGGGTCAACAAATTGCCTTTGCAACCTTCGTCCGCGCGAATTCAGCACAGATCCGATCAAATTTAATCGGATACTTGTCGCTAGGACTGTGCATACAATCATTCTTGCCTTTCCGACTGGCTGTCCGCGACTCTGTTAATTTCTACGAATAACAATTTCTACGAAGGCATGGCTAATACTTGAAACTCGATTTCGTGTGGAAACGAAGTTTAAATAGATAATGCTACCAACCGCCGAGATAGTTTAAAATCTCGAACATATCCTCCATTATTACTGCGTATTCGACAGTGACGATGCGTCCATTAAATGGTAGTTATTTATCGGATTGAATTAATAAAATAACGGGCGCATTGAAACATCGGAACGGACCGTCATGCAGAGGAGATGGGATAAAGCTGGACGGGAGAGAGAAATGAGATTGTTCACTGCTATTGAACGTGTAGCCATCGATTTAACGATCCCTTGACAATGCTCTTGATTCTCTTTCCCCGAGAATCAAATCTTCGCACGCATCAAATCTTCATACATTAATTCCTCGCTTCGATCTTTGCATACAATTATCGAAATGTCATTAGCGTCTAATAGCCATTTTCGATTATTAATTCTGTATGAGAATCCTTTAATAGCTAAATCCATCCGGCGTTTTGCGATCGAAGCGTCATAAGCGACGTTCTCTTCGGCGTTCATGGAGCCAATATTCCAGGTAGGATCGATGCGTGCTCATACTGACGGAGTCGAAAGTAACATGAATTAATCGTAACCAATCCTGGTCCATTTGCTACGCCACAGAGATTCTACCATTTCTGACGATTATGCGAGCGTGCTCTATTCCTCTTCTTCGGATAGGTGCTGGTTGAAATTCCCGACCGATTCGCCTCTCTCCACCGCTTACTTTTCGTTTTGGGCGGGCCGAGGGGCCTAGCCGTTAGCTAGGTCTGCCCGATTCTGGCCGATTTACAGTGGCCATTGCCGCATAAGTAATAACGTCGCGATATGAACGCGAAATACCTCGCGGCGGGCAGCTACAGGCAGAGTGAGCCGCGGTGAGGGTTGACCTGGCAGCCGGATCGATCCACTCTACGTAGAACCTAGCCTCCTCTTTCACGTTTGTACCCCTGCGCCGCGCCTGCTTGCGCTGATGCCAACCACAAGGTATCCACGTTTTACTTCTCGACATTTCGTCTATCCAGCCAAAATCCCACGCCAGATATTTAGGCCAAATATTTCTATTATGTCGATACGATCGCGTGTCCCGGAAAGGCACAGAGGGATGGCACGCCGTTTGCTCTTTTACTCTAC